CCCCTGGGCACACAGAAGACTGGGCGACTTGGAAGGCGCTGAACAGACTGCGCTCTGGCACCACGAGATGCAGAGCCAATCTTAAGAAATGGGGCTACATGGAATCCACGACATGCGAGTGTGGAGAAGAACAAACCACTGACCACCTGCTGCAATGCACCCTGAGCCCTGCCACATGCACAATGGAGGACCTTCTTGCGGCAACACCAGAGGCACTCCAAGTGGCCAGATACTGGTCAAAGGACATTTAACCAACTACCAAATTTACAAAATCTGTGTTTTTTTTTCTTTTTCTTTTTAATCTGTGTGTTTGTTTTGCTCTGTTAGAATTGTAATACAATGGTTGCTGATGACACGATAAATAATATATACACACACACACAGAAAAGTGACTTTGCCTTGCTTTTTGGCAGGCTTTTGGAAGGAGGCCGAGTCCCTTTCCCGGCCTTTCATGGTCATGCCTGGCCCTCCTGGGCTATTTATTCCTCCTTTTCCAACTTTTCTCCTTCCTGCTTTCCTTCCGTGACTCATTGGCCGATGATGATAAAGATAAAGAATTAAACTCATAATGAAAGACAAGGCATGGGAATTGGGAGAGGAGAGGAGGGGGAATAGAAGGGAGGGAGGGAAGGAAGAAGAAGGAAAAGGGGAAGGAAGGAAGAGAAAGAAGGAAGAAGGGAAGGAAGTTATGGGAGGGAGGGAAAGAAGGAAGGGATGGAAGGAAGAGAAAAATGAAAATTGAGGGAGGGAGGGAGGAAGGGAAGAAGGAAGGGAAGGAAAGGAGGGAGGAAAGAAGGAAGGAAGGGAAGGGAAGGGAGAAGGAAAAGAAAGGAAGGAAGGAAAAGGAAGGAAGGAGAAGGGAGGGAAGGAAGGTAGAAAAAGAAGAAGGGAAGGAACTTATGGGAGGGAAGGAAAGAAGGAAGGGATGGAAGGAAGGAATGAAAGGAAGAGAAGAATGAGAATTGAGGGAAAGAAGGAAGAGAAAGAAGGAAGAAAGTTAAGGAGGGGGAAGAAGGAAGGAAAAAAGTTTTGGGAGAAAGGGAAAGTGGGAAAGGAGGGGAAGGGAAGGGAGGGAGGGAAGGAAGAAAAAGAAGGAAGGAAGGAAGGAAGGAAGGAAGGAAGGAAGGAAGGAAGGGAGGGAGGGAGGGAAGGAAGGGGAGGAAGGAAAGAAAGGAAGGGGAAAGGAGGAGGAAGAAAAAAGGAAAGGGAAGGAGGAAGGAAGAGGGAAAGAGGGAAGGAAGGAAGAAAGGAGGAAGGAGGAAGGAAAGAGAGAAGAAGAAAAGAGGAGGGGAGGGAAAAAGGAAGAGAAGAAGGAAGAAAGGGAGGGAAGAAGAGGAAGGAAGAAGAGGAGAGAGGAAAGAAAAAAGGGAGGAAAGAGGAAAAGGGAAGGGAAGGGAAGAGAAAGAAAAAGAGGGAGGGAAGGAAAGAAGGGGAAAGAAGGAAGGAGGAAAAGGGAGGAAGGAGAAGGAAGAAAGTTAAGGAAAGAAGGGAAAGGAGAAAGAAAGAGAAGAACGGAATGGAAAGAAGGAAGATAGTTAAGCGAGGGAGGGAAAGAAGGAAGGAAGTATAGGAAAGGAGGGAAAGAAGAAAGAAAAGGAAAGAAGGAAGGAAGGGAAGGAATGGAAAGAAGGAAGGGAAAGATGAAAGTTAAGGCAGGGAGAGAAACAAGGAAGAAAGAAAGGGTAGGAAAGAGTAAAAGAGGGAGGGAAAGAAGAAGAAAGGCCTTGTCCTTTCCGGCCATTCTTCATCTCCGTCCTTCACCAGATGTCCAATTTCCGAAGGAATTAATGATTGACAGGCTGGGAAGGCTTTGGGCCCAAGCACCTGGGAAGGAAATCCAGGTGAAGGGAGCCCAAGATAAGGGCCCGCTTTGGGCTCAAGGTCAGCCGAGAGCTGGCTTCCCTTCCAGGAGGGCAATGGATCCGCTCTGGGTTTGACTCCGAACTGTAGGCCTGGATTCCTGGGCTGAGACTCCCTGCCTTGTGGCTTTGTGCTTGGCCCTGCTTTCCCACTGCCTGCCAGCAGAGGGCAGGATTGAACCACCTTCCTTGTCTCCATAGAGGGCCATGGAAGGCCACCTTTCATGGTTGACTTGAGGGTCATCATCAGTGTAGAGCCCAGCATCCCCAGGCAAGCAAAGTTGGAAAGTTGGGGGAAAGGAGGAGGAAAAGGAAAGATGGATGGGTGGGAAGGAAAGAGGGGAGTAAGGAAGGCTCAAAGGTAGGAAGGATGAAGGGGGAAAGGGGAGGGAAACAAACTAGGAAGGAAGAAGTAAATGGGGAAGGCAAGAGAGTAGGAAATGTAGGCCAAGAGGAGAAAAGAAGGTGTGAAGTGGGAAGGAGGGAACAAGATAAGACAGAATGGAAAAGAAGTGAGGAAGAAGGGAGTACAAGAAAGAGAAGGAAGGGAAAGTCGGAAGGAAGAGGAAGGAAGGAGAGAAAGGAAATGAGGATGAAAGGAGTCCAAGAAAGAAAAGGAAGGAAGAATGTTAAGGAAGGAGGAAAGAAGGAAGGAAGGAAAAGGAAAGGGGGGAAGAAAGAAGGGAAAGGAGAGAGAGAAGAAGAAGGGGGGAAGGAAGGGAAGAAGAGAAGAAGAAGGAAGAAGAGAAGAAGAAGAAGAGAGGGAAGGAAGGAAAAGGAAGGAAGAGGGAAGAGGAAAGAAGGAAGGAGGGAGAAAAGGAAGAAAGGAAGGAAGGAAGAAGAAGAGGAAAGAAAATGGGAGGAAAGAAGGAAGAAGAAGAAGGAAAGAAAGGAAGGGAAGGAGAAGAGGGAAAGGGAGGGAGGGAGGGAGGGAGGGAGAAGAAGGGAAAGAAAGAAGGAAGTAAGAGAAAGAAGAAAGTTAACAGAGGGAAGGAAGTAAAAGGAAGAAAGTTCAGGGGAAGAAGGAAGGTAAGGAAGGAAATGAAAATAGGAAGAAAGGGAAGGGAGAAAGTTAAGGAAGGGAGAGAAGGGAGGGAAGGAAAAAAGGGAGGGAGGGGAGGAAGAAAAAAAAGGGAGGAAGGGAAAGAAGTGAGTGATAGAAAGAGGAAAGTTAAGGAAGGGAATGAAAGAAGGAAGAAAGGGCATGAAACGGAAGGAAGGGAAAGGAGAAAGAAAATTATGGGAGGGTAGGAAGGAAGGAAGGGAAGGAGGCAAGTTAAGGAAAGGAAGAGAAGTGAGAGAGGGGAAGAAGGGAGGGAGCGAAAGGAAGAAAAGGAAGAGAGGAAGGGATAGAAGGAAGAAAGTTAAGGAAGGTAATGAAAGAACAAAGGAAATGGAAGGGAGAAAGAAAGTTATGGGAGGGAAAGAAAGGAGGAAGAAGGAAAGGGGGAAGAAGGAAGGGAGAGAAGGAAAGAAGGGAAGAGGGGAGGAAGGGAAGAAGAAGGAAGGGAAAAGGAAGGAAGGAGAGAGGGGAAGAAGGAGGAAGGGAGCAAAGGAGTAAAAGAAAGAAGAAATAGAAGGGGAAAGGGTTAAGGGGGAAGGAAAAGCAGGAAGAAAAAGAAGGAAGGGAGGGATAGAAGGATGAAAGTTAAGGAAGGGAATGAAAGAAGGGAGGAAGGGGAGGAAGGAAGGAAAAAAGGGGAGAGAGAAAGTTATGTTAGGGAAAGGAAGGAAGGAGGAAAGTTGAGGAAGGGAATGAAAGGAAGAAAGGGGAGAAAGAAAGTTATGGGAAAGAAGGAAAGGAAGGGAAGGGAGGAAGTGGGAAGGAAGGGAATGAAAGAAGGAAGGAAGGGAGAGAAGGAAAGAAGGGAGAGAGGGGGAGAAGGAAGGGGAAATAGAAGGGGAAAGTTAAGGGAAGGAAAGCAGGAAAAAAGAAGGAAGGGAGGAATAGAAGGAAGAAAGTTAAGGAAGGGAATGAAAGAAGGAAGAAGGGAAGGGATAAAGAAAGCTATGGGAGGGAAAGAAGGAAAGAAAGGAGGAAAGCTGAGGAAGGGAATGACAGAAGGAAGGAAGGAAGGAAGAAAGAGAAGGAAAGAAGGGAGGGAGGAAGGAGGAAGGGGAGAGAAAGAAGGGAGAAAGAAGGAAAATAAGGAGGGAGGAAGAGAAAAAGAAGGAAGGGAGAAAGAAGGAAGAAGTAAGGAGGGAATGAAAGAAGGAAGGGAAGGAAGGAAAGAAAGTATGGGCGGGAAAGAAGGAAAGGAAGAGGAAAGGAGGAAGGGAAGAAAAAGGAAGGGAAGGGAGAAGGAAAAAAAGAAGGAAAAGAAAGAGGAGAAGGGGGGAAGGGAAGAAGGGAGAAAGGAAGGGAGAAAAGAAGGGAAGGAAAGAAGGCAGGGAAGGAAGGAAGAAACAAAGAAAGAAGGGAGGGAAGAAGAAAAAGAAGAGGTGAAAGAAGGAAGGGAAGGAAGGAAAGGAAGGGAGAAAGTTATGGGAGGGAAAGAAGGGAGGGAAGGAAGAAAGTTGAGGAAGGGAATGAAAGAAGGAAGGGAAGGGAGGAAGGGGGAAGGAAGGGAGAGAAGTAAAGAAGGGAGGGAAGGAAGGGGAGAGAAAGAAGGGAGAAATAGAAGGGGAAAAGTTATGGGAGGGAAGGAAAGCAGAAAGAAAAGAAGGAAGGGAATGAAAGAAGGAAGAAAGGGAAGGAAGGAAGGGAGAAAGGGAAAGGAGAAAGAAAGTTATGGGAAAGAAGGAAAGGAAGGAGGAAAGTTGAGGAAGGGAATGAACGAAGGAAGAAAACGAAGGGAGGGAGGAAAGGAAGGAAGGGAGAAAGAAAGTTATGGGAGGGAAAGAAGGAAAGGAAGGAGGGAAGTTGAGGAAAGGAGAGCAAGAAGGAAGGGACGGGAGAGAGGGAAGGAAGGAAGAAAGAGAAGGAATGAATGTAGGAGGAAATGGAAGGGAGAAAGGAGGGAAAGAAGGAAGGAAGTTAAGGAAGGGAAAGGAAGGAGGGAAGGGAGGGTGGTCTCTCTCTTGGTGCGCCTCCCCCTCCGCCCCTGCTCGGGTTCCAGTCCGTGTTTCGGGTCCTCCTTTCGGGGCCGGGCTTCGGGCGGCGCGGGAAGGAGGGGCGGCTGGGGGGGGGCAGGAGGGCAGTCCCTTCCTTCTCTTCCTTCCCTTCCTTGCAGAGGAGCCTGCAGGGTCGGCTGGGATGGGTTCTCCCCCGGGCCGGAGGAAGAGGCGCCTGGCCTGCTGGGGCTGCCTCTGCGCCGCCTTCGCCTTCACCTCCTGCTTCCTCCTCCAGGTAAGCCCCTCCATCTGCTGCATGCATGTAGATAGCCAGGAGGAAACCTCATTGCCCTGGAAGGAAGGAGAGCTCTCCCTCTCTCATTGTCCTTCCTCACTCAGGAGTTGAGAGAGATGAGATGAGATGACATGATGGGACTTGGAGTCCAACAAGTCCTAACTTCTGCACTCTAGGCACTTTCTCTCTCTGTGTGTCTTTCCTGTCTATCTCATTGTCTTTCCAAGAGAGACATAATGGGACTTGGAGTCCAACAAGTCCTAACTTCTGCACTCTAGGCACTTTCTGTGTGTGTGGGTCTCTCCTATCTATCTCATTGTCTTTCCAGGAGAGACATAATGGGACTTGGAGTCCAGCAAGTCCTAACTTTTGCACTCTAGGCACTTTCTCTCTGTGTGTGTCTTTCCTATCTATCTCATTGTCTTTCCAGGAGAGACATAATGGGACTTGGAGTCCAACAAGTCCTAACTTCTGCACTCCAGGCACTTTCTGTGTGTGTGTGTGTCTCCTATCTATCTCATTGTCTTTCCAGGAGAGACATGATGGGACTTGGAGTCCAACAAGTCCTAACTTCTGCACTCCAGGCACTTTCTCTCTGTGTGTTTATCTATCTATCTCATTGTCTTTCAAGGAGAGACATGATGGGACTTGGAGTCCAGCAAGTCCTAACTTCTGCACTCTAGGCACTTTCTGTGTGTGTGGGTCTCTCCTATCTATCTCATTGTCTTTCCAGGAGAGACATAATGGGACTTGGAGTCCAACAAGTCCTAACTTCTGCACTCTAGGCACTTTCTGTGTGTGTGGGTCTCTCCTATCTATCTCATTGTCTTTCCAGGAGAGACATAATGGGACTTGGAGTCCAGCAAGTCCTAACTTTTGCACTCTAGGCACTTTCTCTCTGTGTGTGTCTTTCCTATCTATCTCATTGTCTTTCCAGGAGAGACATAATGGGACTTGGAGTCCAACAAGTCCTAACTTCTGCACTCTAGGCACTTTCTCTGTGTGTGCGTCTTTCCTATCCTTTGGGGGGGGGGGCTCTGTGTTGTCTTGGGGGGAATTATGGAGGTTGTAGTTCCCCTCCCCAAGAACAAAATAAGGGTGTATTCCTCAGTCTCCTTGGGACTTTCCACCCTCAGAGTCTCCCTGCAACAACAATGGGGCCCTTTGTGCTTCATAGGGTGGTGGGAAGGGGTTTTTTGGAAAGGGGGGAGGACCCACCCGAAAGGCACCCACTTCTTAAAAGGGGTGTTTATTTATCGTGTCATCAGCAACCATACCATTGTATTACATTTCTAACAGAACAAAACAAACACACAGATTTAAAAAAAACCAAAAAAAACCATAGATTTTGCAAACTTGGTAGTTGGTTAAATGTCCTTTGACCAGTATCTGGCCACTTGGAGTGCCTCTGGTGTTGCCGTAAGAAGGTCCTCCATTGTGCATGTGGCAGGGCTCAGGGTGCATTGCAGCAGGTGGTCAGTGGTTTGCTCTTCTCCGCACTCGCATGTCAAGGATTCCACTTTGAAACCCCATTTCTGAAGATTGGCTCTGCATCTCGTGGTGCCAGAGCGCAGTCTGTTCAGCGCCTTCCAAGTCGCCCAGTCTTCTGTGTGCCCAAGGGGGTCTCTCATTTGGTATCAGCCATGGATTGAGGTGCTGGGTTTGGGCCTGCCACTTTTGGACTCTCGCTTGCTGAGGTGCTCCAGCGAATGTCTCTGTAGATCTAAGAAAACTGTGTCTTGATTTAAGTCGTTGACGTGCTGGCTGATACCCAAACAGAGGATGAGCTGGAGATGTCTCTGCCTTGGTCCTTTCACTATTGGCTGCTACTTCCCAGTGGATATCAGGTGGTGCAATACCAGCTAAGCAGTGTAATTTCTCCAGTGGTGTAGGACGCAGACACCCCGTGATAATGCAGCATGTCTCATTAAGATCCACATCCACTGTTTTAGTGTGGTGAGATGTGTTCCACACTGGGCATGCATACTCAGCAGCAGAGTAGTATAGCACAAGGGCAGATGTCTTCACTGTGTCTGGTTGTGATCCCCAGGTTGTGCCACTCAGCTTTCATATGATATTGTTTCTAGCGCCCACTTTTTGCTTGATGTTCAGGCAGTGCTTCTTGTAGGTTAGAGCACAGTCCAAAGTGACTCCCAGGTATTTGGGTGCGCTGCAATGCTCCAGTGGGATTCCTTCCCAGGTCATCCTCAGAGCTCGGGATGCTTGTCTGTTCTTAAGGTGAAAGGCACATGTCTGTGTTTTAGATGGATTAGGGATCAGTTGGTTTTCCCTGTAATAGGCAGTAAGAGCACCTAGAGCTTTGGAGAGCTTCTGTTCAACCATCTCAAAGCTCCCTGCCTGAGCGGTGATGGCACGATCATCCGCATAGATGAAACTCTCTGTCCCTTCTGGCAGTGGCTGGTCATTTGTGTAGATGTTGAACATGGATGGAGCAAGCATGCTCCCCTGAGGCAGGCCGTTCTTCTGTTTCCGCCATCTGCTTCTCTGGCCCTGGAACTCAACAAAAAAGCTCCTGTTTTGTAGCAGGTTTCCTATGAGGCGGGTGAGGTGGTCGTCCTTTTTCTCAGGAGGAGGCGGTGGTTCACAGTATCATAGGCTGCTGACAGGTCTATGAAGACAGCTCCTGTGATCTGCTGAAAGTGGGTGTAGGTAAGGGCAAAAGGGGCGGGGCTAAATCCCCAGATCTTAATATATGCGTGTAAATCAAAGGTGCTAGTCCTCATAGTTCACATTGGCCACTCAGAACATGGAGAGAAGCAATGCAATGTGGTGGTCTGAGCATTGCGAGCCTTGCGTTCAATCCCATTTTGGGGCTGGGTGGGTCGCACGCTCTCAGTCTCAATTAAGCTGGAGCTTTGATTTAGTTTTGAGTTTTGGATGAGCTGTGACTTGCAACTGAACGGAGGATAACGTCAGTCCTTGTATGGTGTCGGTGGTGGAACTCGTATTTTAGGTTAACACCAATTACGGGAGTGTGGTTTCACTGTTGAAGCAGGAATGGGTGTTTGACGGTTCAAGTGCCGCTGGTGAGCGTCCGGCTCTCTCAATGCTCCGTCTTTCTTTCCTTTCGTTCTGCCTCCCGGCGCCACCCTTTTTCTATTTTTGAGTGGGTGCCGCAAAGGATAAATTGGGCCCTGTTGCTCCGGGAGAGGAATGCGCCCGGCTTTGGGCCCAAGAGCAGAGAATAACCACCGCTCTGTCGAAACTATTCTGAGTGGCCGAAGGGGAACGGAGGTGATGCCGCTGGCCTTATATATATATATATATACCCACAGTGAGCCTCTGAGTGCGTGCAGAACACCCAGAGCTTCTGGGTGCTCCCCACAAATCTCTTCCAAATACGACCTGCCACTAGCCTCATATATACTTTCTCAGTGAGCCTCTGAGCATGTGCAGAGCATCCTCTAAGTGTGTGCTGAACATCCAGAGCCTCCCATTGCTGTGCTCCCCACAAATCTCTTCCAAATAGGACCTGCCAGTGGCTTCATATATACTCTCAAAGTGAGCCTCTGAGCGCATGCAGACAATTTGAGCGTGTGCTGAAATCCAGAGCCTCCCGTTGCTGTGCTCCCCACAAATCGCTTCCAAACAGGACCTGCCGCTGGCTTCATATATACTCTCACAGTGAACCTCTGAGCACATGCAGAGCGTCCACTGAGTGCATGCAGAGCATCCAGAGCCTCCCATTGCTGTGCTCCCCACAAATCGCTTCCAAATAGGACCTGCCGCTGGCCATATATATATACTCTCACAGTGAGTCTCTGAGTGCGTGCAGAGCATCCACTGAGTGCATGCAGAGCATCCAGAGCATCCCATTGCTATGTTCCCTACAAATCACTTCCAAATAGGACCTGCCGCTGGCTTCATATATACTAAAGTGAGCCTCTGAGCGCGTGCAGACCATTTGAGCGCATGCTGAACATCCAGAGCCTCCCATTGTTGTGCTCCCCACAAATCACTTCCAAATAGTACCTGCCACTGGCTTCCTATATACTCTCACAGTGAGCCTCAGAGTGTGTGTAGAGAGAGTGTGTGTAGAGCATCCTCTGAGTGCGTGCAGAGCATCCAGAGCCTCCCATTGCTGTGCTCCCCACAAATCACTTTCAAATAGGACCTGCCACTGGCCATATATACATCCTCTCACAGTGAGCCTCTGAGTGCGTGCAGAGCGTCCACTGAGTGCATGCAGAGCATCCAGAGCCTCCCATTGCTGTACTCCCCACAAATCACTTCCAAATAGGACCTGCCGCTGGCCATATGTACTCTCACAGTGAGCCTCAGAGCACGTGCAGTGCATCCAGAGCCTCCCATTGCTGTGCTCCTCACAAATCGCTTCCAAATAGGACCTGCTGCTGGTCATATATATATACTCTCACAGTGAGCCTCTGAGCATGTGCAGAGCATCCACTGAGTGCATGCAGAGCATCCAGGGCCTCCTATTGCTGTGCTCCCCACAAATCACTTCCAAATAGGGCCTGCCACTTGCTTCATATATACACTCACAGTGGGCTTCTGAGCATGTGCAGAGCATCCAGAGTGCGTGCACAGCATCCAGAGCCTCCCATTGCTGTGCTCCCCACAAATCGCTTCCAAATAGGACCTGCCGCTGGCTTCATATATACTCTCAAAGTGAGCCTTTGAGCGCGTGCTGAACATCCAGAGCCTCCCATTGCTGTGCTCCCCACAAATCGCTTCCAAATAGGACCTGCCGCTGGCTTCATATATACTCAAGTGAGTATCTGAGCACGTGCAGACCATTTGAGTGCGTGCTGAACATCCAGAGCCTCCCATTGCTGTGCTCCCCACAAATCACTTTCAAATAGGACCTGCCGCTGGCCATATATATATACACTCACAGTGAGCCTCTGAGCACGTGCAGAGTATCCACTGAGTGCATGCAGAGCATCCAGAGCCTCCCATTGCTGTGCTCCCCAAAAATCACTTCCAAATAGGACCTGCCACTGGCCATATATTTATAG